ACTGTATCTTGTGATTATTCAAAAGATACTCAAAAGAAACCCTTTACTGCGATGTAGTCAGGGAGTCACTGTGTATTTAGATCAGTGGTGGTAAGTAGTCATTTTAAACTTACAACAATAAAAATTTAAAACCAATCTTCTTTGTCTACCTACATCTCGATAAACCATAGTAGAATTAGGCATTTACATAATTTCTGGACTGCCACACCATATTATGCACATTCAAAATAAGCTTACTTACCAAGAAGCTTAGGGGACTGAATGTAATTGCCCTATTTAGAAGGCAGAATGCAGTTTAGGTCTTCTGCTCATAATGCATTAGGATTGTACATACCTGCTATAATTTACAGTCATTATCTAAATCTTCATAGCATGAGATAACTCCTTTGCATCTTTGAGTGCCTTGGTATAGAGCTGCTTATGCCCAAGGACTATTCCACAATGACATAGTTTTTCAAATTATATGTAGCACAGGAAAATGTTCCATTGTTATTGAACACTTACTAACTAAATGACCAATTTTGGTAAATACTAGACATGAGAACAGCTGAGTAAAATCTTAAAATTTAATAACTTAATAAAGAGACATAAAATAAGCCTAATCTGATAATAGTTTGTTGTGCATCATAACAGCTTATGCCTTTAATGAAAGAGAACTTCATTATTATACAAAGCATGTTACCAAATTTCTTAATAAGAGTTTACTAAATTTTTTGAACAATCTTTTTAATAAAAGCTAGTGAAAACTCTCTCTGAAGCCACTCAATTGACATTTCCCAACCTGGTGCATGTGCTTTGAAAGGTTTATCAATTACATGATGGACAAATAACCTCTACTCTAGATAACACTGATCACTTATGTAGAACAGGCCACAGAATATTTCAGTTAAAACGATTTTGTCTGATTTGAGTCATACATTCTCTCAGTTAGAGTTCCAACCTGAAGTAGGTAGTACACTCACACTAGGATAATTTGAAGAATATCTGCAAAGGATTTATTCAGAAATATGTAAAGTTTATAAAACATAAGCAGCACAGTAACCCAGTGCAATGTCATGTAGGCTCTCTTACCACTCTTAGGTCAAAGAGGAAAAGCAAGGGTGAAGCTTTTGGGACCCTGAAGAAGACAGTCATAGAAGCTGAGCAGCCTTGGGAGATGCAGTGGTGGTCCATAGACAGACACATCCAGCTCAATGCCAGTGCTTAGGCAGGATGCCAAAGGCAAACATAGCCTCACTCTCCTCCCTCTTTTAATCTCCTGCTGGCCTTCCAGATATCAAGAGAAGCCAGTGGGTATGGGACATATTTTTATATAATCCACAAAAGTACATCTTTGAAGGTATAGAACCAGGTGGAGGAGAGGGAAGTGAACATTTGGAAGGGCATATACAATGAGAAGCATATGATTTTTTACAAAATGATGTTTCTCTTTTTATTAGAGAAAATAAAACATGTTTGCTGTATAAAATTTGGAAAATGAATAAAATGCATTGTTGGTTTAAACTGTATCTTTTTGGCTGTTATTACTCTGCTGATTAAAGTAGAAAAATAATAGTCAAAAAAACAATAACAGAAAAAAGCAAACAAAAAAAACACTTTAAGTGCAGTTTTAAAATATTGGGGATTTATTGATCTATGTTACCAGAAAGTCTAGAGTTAAGACAGTCTTTGGAATTGGTTTGATTTTGACTCAGTTATGACTTCAAAGACTCAGTTTCTTTTTGTCTCTCTTCTCTGCCTGTTATATCAATGTTACCCTAAAGCTGGTACCTCATGGTGACAAAATGACTGCAGTACTTCCAGGTTTTGCATCTGCAGCATGCTACAACAATCAACAATGCTGATGAAGAAAGAAAAATTGGAAGAGAAACAAGCTGGTTCTTATCTTTCGTTGTTATCTTTTGTTGTTTGGGTCAGAGCTTCCAGAAAAATTCCCCTTTTGTCTGTTTGGCCTGGCTTGAAGAACCTGAACCACTCTCTATGTGAGAAGAGAGTCACAGCAGATTAGTGTAGGATGAGGTTATCAGAAGCAGTAAGTCTAACTGGAATTACTAATATCATCCTTCAAACTGATAGCTGAGTCCACCTCATCTCCAAGAGCATGTTGGATATACTTAGTAACCAGGACAGTTAATACTGGGAAGACAGACTCATTACCTCTTTATCTTCTACACCCCCTTTATAAATGAGAAAACCGGGGCTTACTTTAAAGAAGTAAGCAGAATTTTTTGATGGCATTTAACTATTAAGTAACAGGGCTGGAATTATATCTTCAGTTTTCTATTTTAAATTTTTATATTTTTGAAATTCTGTAAATTGCTATAAGTAATGATTTAGCATATATAATTCCCATGGATTTCTGAGGAAGGGCTTTAAAAATACAAAGCACAGTGTTCAAAGCATAGAGGGAACTGATCATTCAGATAAACCTACTTTAAAAAATTTAAATTAGAAGCATTAATTAATCCATTTTATTATAAAGGACTAAGGTTTACTAATACATCACTGGGAACAAAATCTGTAACAACCAGAGTAACTCAGAACAAATACTGTTACTCAATGAGCACAGAATATAAAAATATTTAATTCTTCTAAATGTAAAATTAGAAATAACTATGAATTTGTTAAAATAGCCAAATTTAGAAAATAAAGAGAGGGGAAGGAAAGAAATAGTTATTTGTCAACTACCATTTCTATAAGTAAAACATTAAGTTTTTAATATATATTAAAATTTGAATATGTCTGTTTGATCTGAAATCCATTAATAGCCAATTTATAATTATCCTAAATTTTTATATTTTTGTTTGTGCCTCTGAGTTTTTGTATATGAAAGATAATAGTTAATAAAATGTATAAAATACTTAATTCTATAGATGTGTGTCTTTTTCAATTTATATTCTACTACTGTTAGAACAGTTTATGAATCTGAGTGATCTTATTTGTTGATCAAAAGTCTCTAAGCCTTTTGAACTTTGTAGGTATCAAGTCCTAAGTGAAAGAACCAATTTCCATTCCTCAACATAAGTGTTTCTTCTGCAAATAAGCAAAGACAAACTTGGAAATTAAAGGTCAGCTCTTATAGGTTCAGGGAAACATTTTCTGTCACATGGAGACAATTTTTATCCCTCTTTGTCATACACTGAAACACCTGTAAATAAAGTTGAAGAAATATCACATAGCTGAAGAAACATTGCATTTGCATAGATGAAATGTTGGTTCAATATCATGCTCCCTGAGAGTGTTTAGTAAGGTCTTAGTCCTATTTCTAATTGAACACAATATCGACTTATTGCAGAAACACAGAATAAATAAAATGGTTCGAAAAGTGAGGAACAACTTATTTTCATGTTAGATCTCCCTACAGGTGTCAATCAGACCTTTTCCGGTTTTGTTTTAGTTTATTTTTATGTGAAATGGTCAAAATTTTTATAATATAGCAGGTTAATTCCTACATTTTTCAGCAGTGGAAAAAAGCTGTTAGTACTTAAATTTGGAAGTTATAGCAGTGGGTGATATAACATAGGGAAGAAGCATGGTGTCATGATCCCCCAAAATGTGAGTTACTATGGTCAAATTATAGTGACAAAGCACTTATTCTCACTTTTTGATGTTGTATTTCTAGGTTTCCTTATAACTATCAGGGAAATACTTTAACAGTGTTTTGACATAATGACATTAAATTTGCTATTTTACATACAGCATGACAGCAATCAAGGAATCCACTGAATTCTGCTATATTAAAGAACATGATTTAGGCAGGGTGCGGTGGCTCAAGCCTGTAATCCCAGCACTTTGGGAGGTCGAGGCGGGTGGATCACGAGGTCAAGAGATCGATACCATCCTGCTTGACATGGTGAAACCCCATCTCTACTAAAAATACAAAAAATTAGCTGGGCATGGTGGTGCGTGCCTGTAATCCCAGCTACACAGGAGGCTGAGGCAGAAGATTTGCCTGAACCCAGGAGGCAGAGGTTGCACTGAGCCGAGATCAGGCCATTGCACTCCAGCCTGGGTAACAAGAGCAAAACTCCGTCTCAAAAAAAAAAAAAAAAACCATGATTTAAACTTCAAGTTAATAATGTATTTATATTCCCTAAGCATGGAATATATACTATCTCTTTGATAATTCCTTTCTGAGTAGACAGAAGACAGCGCACATGTTAATAAGTTATATAAGACTATACACACGGAATGTATCCCCCAGTTTGTGGGATGGATGTCTTATTAGTTTCCCCCTTATCTGCTCTTTATTTAGACCAGCAGTGCAGACTCCACACTTTGTGAGATAGAAACGATGGAAAAGGATTGCTAGAGTCAGTATCAGGATGAAGTTTCCCTTAAAGCTTCTGACTTAGTTGGCAACGTTCCCTATGAAGTTAATCTTTCTGTTACTTTCAGAGCATGCCAAGATGGACTTCCACTGACCTTTTTTTCTGACAAGTATCAGAGGAGTTCCCAAAGTTTTGCTGCACAGACAGCTAAGGGGAAATCATAAAGGCATTAATCAGGAATATAAATATGGTCTGTCTCTGAGAGCCTTAATAACAGGTGGAAAGTAGCTCTCTGGGATTGAAAAGTACCAGATACATTTTGTCCTCAGGCTCACATCAAAGCTCACAGTGCTCTCTTGGAGGCATAGTGTTCTTTCTTTCATTCAGCTTATCTTTTAGCAGTATATCTTTTTTATTAAAACAAGAAATCAAAATTTCATGACTTAAACTTTCAGGCTTGCTTTGTCTGTTAAGTCTTTAATACCTTTTAATTATTTGCATAATTAAACAGGGAAAAAGAGTGAGTAAATTTACATCTGTTGAGCAACTATTTTTCTATGTTGACAAAATATTAAGCATTTAAATTAATGAAGAAAGTTCTTGAGGAGGGGAATCAGTAAATTAACTATTATTTAACTCCATATAAATTCCTAGAAGGTAGAATAAAACATAATTGACAGAGAAAAATATATGACATAATTAAAATTACACAAAATAATATACCCTTTCTTCAAGATATTTAATAATAATATAAATAATAGTTGTCTTACCAGGCACATAGTTACTTTATGTCTTGGCCTCCCTTAATTTTCCATTATATATATTAATTTCTTCAAAGTTGGTCAACAATATATGTGCATACTTTCGTTTCCACCTGCTTTAAGGAAAGATTAAAATACACAGGTTTACAGATTGCTTACAAATTAGGTAGATTCCATTCTCAAGCAGTAAAGAAAGCTTTAGTATGTTCAAAAGTAGCTTGTCCCTCATGATTATTGGTCAGATTACTGCTAGGAATGTTTATTATAAACAAATACATTGTTTTCAGGCATGTAGATTTGTGTTAAAGTATATCTCATGGGGTCAGTTTGCCAACTAAAGTTTGTTCCCAGAACTATCTGCCTGAATTATTTATTTCTTTAAACCATGGGATTTTACAATTATTTTTGCACTTATTAACTAAGCTTCTACAAATTGATTATAATTATTTAATAACTTATTTTAATAACTATAAAAGAATAAGCTAAACCTTCTATTTTAATGTGGTCTTTTGTATTTAAAAACTCATATGGTTTGACTCTGTGCCCCCAGCCAAACTACATCTTGAGTTGTGATCTCCACATATCAAAGGAGGGACCTGGTGGGAGGTGATTAGATCATGTGGGTGGTTTCCCTATGCTGTTCTTGTGATGGTGAGTGAGTTCTCATGAAATCTGATGGTTTTATAGGGGGTTCTTCCCTTTTGCTCTAAGGCCCTTGCTTCCCCTTCACCTTCTACCATGATGGTTTCTGAGGCCTCCCAAGCCATGCAGAATTGTGAGTCAATTAAACCTTTTTTCTTCATAAATTACCCAGTCTCAGGTAGTTATTTAAAACACTGTGAAAACGGACTAAGAACAGCTGTTTTAGGCAAACTTGAGGCCAGGAGTTCAAGACCAGCCTGGGCAATTTAGCAAGACCCCCACCTTTACAATAAAAAAATTAGCCATGTATGGTGGCATGAGCCTGTAGTCCCAGCTACTTTGGAGGCTGAGATGAAAGGATTGCTTGAGCTCAGGAGGTTGAGGCTACAGTGAGCCATGAAGGCAACCACTGCACTCCAGCAGCCTGAGTGACAGAGTGCAACCCCGTATCAAATATATATTTACCAGAAATTTGAAAGAAATGACTCTGCATGTTAAATTGTTTTTGCTTGGAAATAAAAACACACAACTGGAAGACTTTCAATGACTTTTTAAAAGATATTGAAACAAAAGTCAAATCATAGGTCACTTATATAACCCTTTGGATGGTCTTTTCAATAGGTATAGAGGTTTTAAGAGTTGAAATATATTTGGCTACCATGCTCATAAATTACTTTCTTCTTTTTATAATGACAGTTTATTTTAATAAAACCTACTATTTCTTAATAAATGTTACCACTTGATAGGATCTAGAGTTCTTAATAAATTTCTACATTTTAAACACTTTTCAATACTTTCCAGCTTTCCCTAGTCTCATTTTTATCCTAGTCTCTGAGATATCTCAACTTTCTATGCATCTTCAACTATCAAAGTCGAAAGCATAACTCAGAAAGTCCTATTTTCTGCTCAGCTGTGTCTCCCATGTTCTAGCTTCAACTTTTCAGGGGGATTCTGTACATCAATGTCTTCCACATACATCAAATGTGACTGCCTAACCAACTTTTTTCTAATTCCTTCTTTTAATTCCTAATTTTAGGAGTGGTATCATATTTTACCCTTTCTGGGACCAGGAGCCTGAGGGCTCTGTCTCACTGCTTGACTTCCAACAGGCAGTGTCTATGTATGCTTTGAACATTGTTTGCCTTCTCCTCTCCCTTCTACCCAGTCACTGACCTAACTTGAAATTGAGCATGTCTTAGTTTCTAGGTCAATGTCCTTATAAGATTTATCATGACTCCCCCTTAAACCTCTCTTCTAGATTGGAGTAGGAGTCCCTTCAATGTACTTCCATTGCACACTGTATTTTTTTCTCATATTGTCCATCATATTTTACTGAATAAATATTTAGCCACTTACAAAGTTAATTATTATTTTATTATAGATCTCTACCATTAGAATGTCATCATCATTTGAAACTTTATTGATCTTTTCTTAAATTGTGTCTCTTTTGCTCAGGGCAGTGACCAGGTATAGGTGCTCATGTTAATATTTATTGAATAAATTAAGGCTTGAGTGTTGATAGGATCAGTTAATTATGTTTAATATGATTGCTAGAAACTATTTATGTATCTTTTCTCTACTGTAAGCAAAGTCTAATGACTTAAAATTTATTCAAGAAAATATATTTAACTATGGCATCAACACGTTATTATGATTGAAAGATTATATCTAGTATTTAGCTGAAATTTTTAAATTGGAAATTAGTTCATAGCTGGGCATGATGGCTTACGCCTATAATCTCAGCACTTTGGGAGTCTGAGGTGGGTGGATCACCTGATATCAGGAGCACAAGACCAGCCTGACCAACATGGTGAAACCCTATCTCTACTAAAAATACAAAAATTAGCCAGATGTGGTAGCCAGCACCTGTAATCCCAGCTACTCAGGAGGCTGAGGCAGGAGAATCACTACAAGCTGGGAGGAAGAGGTTGCATGATCCAAGACTGTGTCATTGCACTCTAGCCTGGGGGAGAGAGTGAGACTCTGTCTCAAAAATAAAATACGATAAAATAGAGAAAATTAGTTCAGCATAGTGAAATAATTCTTCCATTTTTTTTTTAAACTTAGGGCATATTTCTGGGTGTCTTGTATGTTTTTCAAATATGATCATCCTTTTCATATGCAATTTTATTTAGGCAACACAGTCTTACCATTAATAGTATCATACACAGAAGGGCATTACATAATGGTAAAGAGATTAATGCAACAAGAAGAACTAGCTATCCTAAATATATATGCACCCAATACAGGAGAACCCACATACATAATGCAAGTTATTAATGACCTACAAAGAGATTTAGACTCCCATACAATAATAGTGGGAGAATGTCACACCCCACTGTCAATATTAGACAGATCAATGAGAAAAAAAATCAACAATGATATCTGGGACTTGAACTCAGATCTGGACCAAGCATATGTAATAGACATCATCAGAAATCTCTACCCCAAATCCACAGAATATACATTCTTCTCGGCACCACTTCACACTTATTCTAAAATTGACCACATAATTAATAGTAAAGCACTCCTCAGCAAATGCAGAAGAATTGGAATCATTACAAACAGTCACTCAGACCACAGTGCAATCAAGCTAGAGCTCAGGATTAAGAGACTCACTCAAAACCACACAACTACATGGAAACTGAACAACCTGCTCCTGAATGACTACTGGATAAAGAATGAAATCAAGGCAGAAATAAAGATGTTCTTCGAAACCAATGAGAAGGAAGACACAATGTACCAGAATCTCTTGGACACATTTAAAGCACTGTCTAGAGGAAAATTTATAGAACTAAATGCCTGCAAGATAAATGACAAAAGATCTAAAACTGATACCCTGATGTCATGATTAAAAGAACTATAGGAGCAAGATAAAATAAATTCAAAAGCTAGCAGAAGAAGAGAAATAACTAGGATCAGAGCAGAACTGAAAAAAATGAGACACAGAAAAAAACTTTCAAAAAATCGGTGAATTCAGGAGCTTGTTTTTTGAAAAGATCAACAAAATAGACCTCTAGCCAGACTAATAAAGAGGAAAAGAGAGAACCAAATAAATGCAATAAAAAATGATACAGGAGATATCACCACTGATCCAACAGAAATACAAACTACCACAGAGATTACTAAAAACACCTCCATGCAAATAAACCAGTAAATCTAGAAGAAATTGATAAATTTCTGGACACTTACACCCTCCCACAATGAAACCAGGAAGAAGTTAAATCCCTGAATAGACCAATAACAAAGTCTATAATTGAGGCAGCAATGAATAGCATACCAACCACAAAAAGTCCAGGACCAAATGGGTTCACAGCTGAAAAAGAGACACAAAGAGGAGCTGGTAACATTACTTCTGAAATTATCCCAAAAAATATAAAAAGAGGGAATCCTTCCTAACTCATTTTATGAGACCAATATCATCCTGATACCAAAACCCAAATAAGAAAATTTTAGGCCAATATCCATGATGAACATTGATGCAAAAATCTTCAATAAAATACTGGCAAACTGAATCCAACAGCATATTGAAAACTTATCCATTACGATCAAGTCAGTTTCATCCCCAGGATTCAAGGCTGGTTCAACATAAGCAAATTATAATGTAATCCAACATACAAACAGAACCAAAGATGAAAAAAATATGATTATCTCAATAGATGCAGAGAAGGCCTTTGAAAAAACTGAACAGCCCTTTATGCTAAAAACTCTCAATAAATTATGTATCAGTGGAATGTATCTCAAAAAAATAAAAGCTATCTATGAAAAACCCACAGCCAATACCATATTAAATGGGGAAAAACTGGAAGCATTCCCTTTGAAAACTGGCACAAGACACAGATGCCCTCTCTCACCACTCCTATTCAACATAGTATTGGAAGTCCTGGCCAAGGTAATCAGGCAAGAAAAAGAAATAAAGCGTATTCAATTAGTAAATGAGGAAGTCAAATTGTCTCTATTTACAGATGACAAGATTGTATATTTAGAAGAGCCCATTGTCTCAGCCCAAAATCTACTTAAGATGATAAGCAACTTCAGCAAAGTCTCAGGATACAAAATCAATATGCAAAAATCATAAGCATTCCTATATACCAATAACAAACACAGAGCCAAATCACGAGCGAACTCCTATTCACAATGGCTACAAAGAGAATAAAATACCTAGGAATACAACTAACAAGGGATGTGAAGGACCTTTTCAAGGAGAACTACAAACCGCTGCTCAAGGAAATGAAAGAGGACACAAACAGATGGAAAAGCATTCCATGATCATGGTTAGGAAGAATCAATATTGTGAAAATGGCCATACTGCTGAAAGTAATTTATGGATTCAATGCTATCCCCATCAAACTACCATTGACTTTCTTCACAGAATTGGAAAGAAACACTTTAAACTTCATATGGAACCAAAAAGAATCCACACAGCCAAGACAATCTTAAGCAAAAAGGATGAAGCTGGAGGCATCATGCT